AAAAAAAAAAAAAAAAAAAAGAAAAAAAAGGGGATATGGCAAATGGTAGCAATGTTGGGAAACATGGGAGAAATAAAGAGATGCTGCTGGCAAATGGTAGCAAGTTTGGGCAACATGGGAGAAATAAAGACATGCTGCTTGACATTTGAGGGAGAAAATCCATGTGGTCAAAGCCCATCTGGAGTTGAAGCTGGCCAGAACTCTGGGAAACAATAAAAAAAGTTTTTAAAAAATATGTTAATGGCAAAAGGCAGTCAGAAATAAATTTATGAAGAAGATTATTCTGGGAATTACTGAACAACACCTGAAGGACAATGCAGTCACCAGGGGAAGGTCCTGCTTGAAAAAATTACTTTTCTTTCATGACAAAGGTAACCATTGAGCTGACCAAGGGAAGTCAGTTGGTGTAACCTCTTTTAATTTCAGTAAAGCTTTTGATGCTGTGTCTCCCAGGATCCTTCCAGACAAACTGTTCAGCACACATCTGGATAAACATAATTGCGTGATGGGTGAGCAGCTGGCTCATATTTTGGGCAGAAAGGGTTTCCGTGAATGGGGTGACACCAGATTGGTCACCTGTCACTAGTGGATGTCACTAATGGAAGCCAATGGATGTAATATTTTTGCACTTTATCAGAGCTTTTGATACAGTCTCTCTCACAGTATCTTTTCTGGATAAGCTATCTAGTGTTCAGCTGGATAAACACAGCACGCAAGGGATGAGCAACTAGCTCATCCAGGCACAAAGGGTTACAGTGGCATCAGACTAGTGACCTGTCACTTGGGGGATTCCACAGGGCTCCATCCTCAGCCCTGTGCTCTTTGTCTTCATAAATGGCTTGGACTCAGAACTAGAAGGGATACTGAGTTCACAGATGATACAAAACTGGGAGGAGCAGCTGACTCCCTCAAAGGCAGGCAGGCCCTGCAGAGACACCTTGACAAATGAGGGGACTGGGCAGGCACCAGCTCTATGAAATTCAACAAGGGAAAGTGCTGGATTCTGTACCTGGGATGGGGCAACCCTGGATGTACAGACCAGACAGGGAATGAGAGGCTGGAGAGCAGTGTTCTAGAAGGGGACCAGGGAGTCCTGGTCAATGGCAAGTTGAACTTGACTCAGCAGTGCTCTGGCAGCCAAGAAGGCCCCCATGTCCTGGGGTGCATCAGGCACAGCATCACCAGCTGGGCAAGGGAGGGATTGTCCTGCTCTGCTCTGCACTGGGGCAGCCTCACCTCGAGTGCTGGGGGCAGTTTTGGGTGCCACAATGTAAGAAGGACATTGAGCTGTTAGAGTGTCCAGAGAAGGGCCATGAAGATTTTGAAGGGTCTGGAGGGAAAGCCTTATAAGGATCAACTGGGGTTGTCTTGTGTAGGGCCAGGACTTGGAATTCAGTGTTTTTTGTTGTTTCCTTCTAATTCAGGATATTCTATGATTCCATGATTTTTTTAACCAGCCAAGGTTTTTTTGGGTGATTATGTAATGTTGCTTATCTCACAGAAATGTTCTTCTCCCATTCACATCACTGATCCTGCTTCAGCATTTGACAAAAGCACTTGCTTTTTTCTTTTTTTTTTTTTTGTATTCCAGATACGAGCAAGACAGTGGTCATGACAGTGGGAGTGAAGATGCCTTCTTCGACTCATCGCAGCCTTGCACACTGGTCACTTTAGGCATGAAGAAGTTTGTTATCCCTGCTACACCTGCTGCTCCTAAGGATCCAGCCAGCAGAATCCTTCCCCTGCCATCATGCTTGGGCATTTGCCTTGACTGTGACAGAGGCAGGGTAGGATTTTATGATGCAGGCCGTATGAAGTGCCTGTATGAATGTGAGGTGGATTGCTCTGGCTTAATGTACCCAGCGTTTGCTTTAATGGGCAGTGCAGCAGTGCACCTTGAGGAAGCTGTCACAGCCAAGTACAGGGAGTACCATGACGACATCTAGTACATGAATCTCTTCCCATTGCTGTTCTGAGACTGAAAATGAAAGCAGAAGAATTCTACCTTAGCTTTTAGTCCTGATAAATTATATTCTACTTACGTGTTGCTCACAAGCCTCTGGCCTGTGATTTTTAAAATAAATGGTCCAGGTGCTTCCTGCACCAGATGAATTCTCCTGCCTTTCTTGTGATCTGTGCAATGCTATTCTCCATAGACTTTTTTTCCTGGGGGAAGCAGGAAAGAAGTCTGACTAGCAACCAAAATTTACTTTTCAGGACTAGCAACCAAAAATTACTCTTTGGGGTAGAAATCTGCCTTTTATTTAACTTAAGTCCTTAAATAGTTGGTTTTGTATTTAATGAATTCAAAGCTTATGGTGTGTGATTGCCATTTGACGCTGTTGAGGCAGGGCGGTGTGAAAGGACTCCACATCAGAAGGTTTGAGAGTAGAACTCTGATTTATTTCAAATACATCTCTCTTTTATAGAGAATATTGTCTAGACGCATTTTATTGGTCCTAGACTAAAAACATCTCACTTCATTGGTGTGCAGTGAATGATGCACAGTGGCAGACCTTATCTATAAAGAATGTGAACAAGAGAGATAAAGAATTATTTACATTCTTTCTCAACTGTTTCCCAGGCTTCTGCCTGGTTAGAAAGCTTTGTTTTCTCTCTGACTGAACTGAGAATGTCTACAGCCATTCTCCTTTTAAGAAATCTGCCTGAATGCCTCTACAGGGTTAGATGCTTTCCAGTTACCCCTGAGCACCAGTTGGGCCTTTCAGCACAGAATAGCATATAGAACTATAATATGAAAGAGGAAGAAATTAGAAATGGTGTTGAATGTTTAACTTATACTTGGAATGATGAAGGTAAACTTAATTCTGATTGCATGTTGTATACCCTTAATGTGATTGTAAGTTAAAATGCAAGTTCTGACACTCAGTGTCATATAGTTGGTGGCATAATGGTAAGTTCCTTTATTCTTCCAGGCTTTTACTATAAGCTATCTAAAAGAAAGTGCAATTGTACCTTAAATGTCAGAATCTGGAGTCAAAAATCAGAAAGGTTTGCATGTGTGAATAATAGTACCTGGTATTTAGGCAAAGCAAGTGAGTTGCTGACATGAGTAATTATATGTGAATTAAAAAAAATAAAATCAGGTATTTCTTTTAACATTTGCTTTTATAGGTTAATTTTTTAAAATCTAGTAGCAGCTTGAATTTTTCTTAGTAAGAATGTTAAAAATGCACTGGTTAAGTTTGGAGACCTAATTTCTGCCTTAAAGGATGTCTCCCTTCAAATTTCTGTTCCTCTGATGTTAAAAACTGTATCACACAGTAGTTTTTCACAGAATCATATAGTAATGGGAACAGCTTGAGTTGGAAGGGACCTTTAAAGACCATCTAGTTCCAACCCCCCTTGCCATGGGCAGGGACATCTTCCACTAGACCAGGTTGCTCAAAGCTGCACCAAACCTGACCTTGAACACTTCCAGGGATGGGGCATCCATAGGTTCTCTGGGAAACCTTCTTCAGTGTCTCACTACCCTTATTGTTAGAAATTTCTTCCTTATATCCAACCTAAATCTATCATCTTTTAGTTTAAAACCATTGCCCTTTGTCCTATTTCTCTAGGCCTTGGTAAATCTTCTCCATCTTTTAAAAAAATATTTTTTCTATAGTAAAAGGCCATAATTAGGTCTTTCATGAGCCTTCTCCATGATTAATAACTCCATCTCTTACAACGCCTTCACAGGAGAGGTGTTCCAGCCCTCTGAGAATTTTGTGCCTCTCCTCTGGAACCACTCTGTACTGGGGGCTCACAGAGCCAAATGCAGTATTCCAGGCAGCTCAGGATGTTTTCTGTGCTGCAAGCACACATTGCTGATTCATGGCCAATTTTTCATCTATCAGGATGTCCAAGTCCTTCTCTGCAGAGCTGCTCTTCATTCACCAGTTGGTATTGATAGAGTAAATTTCCTAGGTCCAGGTGCAAGACATCTTTTGCTTGGTCTTGGGGAACCTCATGAGGTCCACATCAACATTGGTTGCCAGTACAGACCCTTGAGGGACACTGCTCATCATTACTGGTTTCTACTTGGACACTGAGCTGTTGACTGTAATTCTTTGGGTGTAGCTATCCAGCCAATTTGTTATTCACTAAGTCCATCCACTTAAAACCTGCTCTTTCAAGTTTAGAGGTAAGAATGTTGTGCGGGATCTTATCAAAGGCCTTACAGAAGTCCAGGTACTTGGTATCTTTTAGCTCTTCCCTTATCCTCTGGTGCAGTCACTGGGTCACAGAAGACCACTAGATGAGGCAGGTGATTATTGCCCTTGGTGAACTCATCTGGCTGTCCCTGATCAATTTATTGTCTTCCATAAATTTTGACCTACGTTCCAGAAGGACCTATGTTACATTATCTTACTGGGAATGAAGGTGGATTGCCTCTCTTTATAGAAACCCATGTATAAAAAGAAGTAGGGTATGTACACTGTTGACTGGTGGAAAAATAAGGATCTAGAGTGAAGAATGTTTCTAATAAATACTTGGTGCTTTCTAATTTGGGGATATGCTTTCTAATTTGGGGATATGCTTTCTAATTTGGGGATAGTGTTGCATCTTGGTAAATGTGTGTGAAGTATGCTCACTAAGTCCATGTATACAGCTGTAGAGCTGTGAAATGGGACCTGAAAATCACAATATAGTTAAGTGAATGCAGGTCATAATGCAAAACGTTTGTGGGCTTTGCTGTCTGAACTGCTGTACTGATCTGACCTGGAGTCCACCTCTCCCAGTGTCTTCTCTCTTAAGCCTCTAACTGTGGCTACTATTAGAAAAAACTGTCAGAAATGGTTGTCTAGGCCAGCATGAGTGTGACAACCAGAAAGGCTCAGCAAGCACAACTTCTTGTCTGGATGTCACCTGCAAATGTTTTTGTCTTGATAAGGCTGTGTGAAAGTGCCCTCCACAGATTCAGTGTGAGTTGTGTGAGATGTTCCAGCAGCAGGGATGAATTATGGGGTACCTTTTGGAATTTTCTCCTGCAGGAGAAAAGAAAAATTGTCTCTTACTAGTTAGCCTTTTTAGTAATTTCTTCTGGTTTAGATGATTATCATTATCGCCTTTTAATTTCTGTAATTCCCTCCCTTTCATCTTCCCTCTAACTGGATTGAAGCCATTGCTCTCTTTTTGCCTGCTGAGGCTGACTGAACAGTCTGTCCATAAGACACTCTCTTGCTGTGAAGGATGACCAAGTTTTGTGTTTTCCTTCTTCTTTTAGTCCTAAAACCGTAATTGCCTTTTATTTGGTTGATATGCAATACCATGCTCCTGATGAAGCTTCTTCTGCAGTGTTTTTCATGCAGTCCTAATGGTTAGCTGTGCATGCAGGGTTTTCCCCACCTGGTATGCTGTTTCGCATTTGTTTATGTTGATAATACTTGTTTACCTAATCACTAAGATCTGAGGGCCTTCTGCAGCTTTTCAGCCACTGCTACACTTGGATGCTCCTGAGTAGTAGCTTAACTGGATACACAAACATGCCCATTCTGTTATTTGTTTGGTTTTCCAGGTCTTGGAGCAAACTAAGTTGTAGAGATCTCTGTTGTTAAGATTTTTTGTTCCTTCTACTTCTTTTCCCTCTCCAAAATTTATTAAACCACAAGTCAAGCACTGAAAACTCTTGCATTAGTATACTATGTTGAGTATGTGACTCATGATTTTTCATGCGAGTGCAGCAGTCAGAGAGAGCCAGGAGGAAGGATTCTCACTTCAGTAGCTGTGACTTCTCCCCTTGTATAACTGGCAATGGTCAGTTCATCTACCAAACCAAGAATTGGCTTAGAGCTGCAGGTTGTAGGGCTGAACTTTCTTTTCCAGAATAAATCTCCTCCCATAGATGAATGTTTTATTTTTAATTCTTCTGTTTCAGAAACTGGTGTAAATTACAGGCTTTATGTCATGGTTAGCACTTCACATTTCCACATTTACATTTTTTATAAGCACCTGGATTTGTATTACTGGACCTTTTGTTACTTTATGAAAATATTTGTAAATGGAACACTCTACTGCAGATATGAAGACAGTGTCTCAGACTCACAGATCTAGAAAAGATTATTGGTTTGAGACTGTAGAAGTAAGAAATTAAAAATGTAGGGGCTTTTTCTACTGGAGTTTCAGATTCATTTAACATGTGTTCTGCTATGCAATTACTTACTCTTCTGGACAGAAACTGATGCTAATTTAAACATTTGTCTACCTTTTGAAAGATCTGTTTGTATTTATCTCATTCTGAGTTTAAAAATTGATTTGCCTTTTGGTGTTACTTGAATACTTAGTGTGCATTCCAGACAGTAGTCTTTGCTGCTTACTCTTATTAAATAAAAAACACACTGTCAATAGGCACTGACAGCACGCTGTGATATTTTTCCACTACCATGGAAGTGTCAACTTTCAGCAATACAGTTCAGCAGTACATGCCTATCCAGATAATTATTTTTTCAAGTTTCTCCCTATGAAACAGCACTTTACAATGTAGACTAAGCTAAAAATGGTGTGGTATTGTGTGGATTTTTGTGCAATATAGCTGTTTGGCAACTATGGTGTGACTTGCAAAGCTTCATACAGGTGTGAATTATGTAGACACTTTTTAGATACCTACAGCTTTAACAGAAAGGCCTTGTTTGAAAATGTTCTGAAATGTAAAAGTGATGTCTTGGTTTGTTTTCTTTTTTTTTTTTAATAAAAGCTGAAATACAGTTTCTCAGTCATTCAAATTATTACATCCCAGCTCCTAAGTATCCTGGTTGAAATAACTTTTCCTACAAAACATGACAATAGATGACTTGTGGGGAGAAAGCACTGCTTTGGTTCTCAAGTGTACTCATATACCAGTCCTCTGAGTTTAGAAGGACAAAAGAGTAATTTGGAATGACTGCCAGGGTTTTACGTAAGATACTGATGTTATGAATTTGACTGCCTGAGCTTTCCTCCCTAGTCAGGGAAGGAAAATGTGCATCCAGAAGGAACTTGGCTCTTGGGCATTTTCAAAGGAACCTACCCATTCCCTAGCAGAGGAAGCAGATGCTGCTTACCTTTCCAACCTGAATAGCTCTACCAGAAGACCTCAGGTTGGGTGGACATGCCTGGCTCTTTGGTTCTGAAAACTGGTGCCACTGCTTAAATCTGCATTCCTTTGTTTCATTCAGTGTTATATTAATTGATGCTGTTGTTTGCAGGGTGCTTCAAAGTTCCAGCTCCCGGTGGTTGCTGCCTTCAGGCAGCTGTGTGTGCACATGGAAGCAAGAGAGGCTGTATCCACAGAGAATCTCCTGTGAGCTGTGCCAGTGCAGTTAAAGCAGCCAATCTGTGGATGTGTATGCTCTAGGAGAGGCAGACTGACACTCCTGAGAAAGCAGGAGTATTGAAACCAAGAGAAGTATTCTGCTGAATTTTCACAGAATCACAGAACAGTTAAGGTGCAAAGGGGGCCTAAGGGTGCAACAAGGTGGATTTGTTCGGTGAAAATAATGGCGCCCCAAGGGCAAGCTTGGGAGGGCAAACAAAGGTTTTGTACAGGAACTCAGGAGGAGGGGTGTAGGAACAATAACCAATGAGGGTAGAACTGGGGATGAGCTTACCTACAAGGATGTCACAGGAGACAGGGTCAAAAGACCTGAAGCCAAGGCAGACAAAATCCACGGCTCCCCTCACTGTGGGGGAGCCTGCCATGCCATCACAGAAGGCCGTAAGACTGGTCAAGCATGATTTCCCCTTGTTATACCCAAACTGACTACTCTTGATCACCTTTTCTTTTACATGCTTGGTGATGACTTCTAGAAAGATCTGTTCCATTACCTTTTCAGGGAGGGAGGTGAAGCTGACTGACTGGTAGTTTCCTGTGTACTCCATTTTGAAGATGGGGTAACTTTGGTCTTTTTCCACTTACTAGGAACCATTTCTGTTCTCCATCATTTTTTAAAGATGATGGAGAGTGTCTTCACAGCACTCCCAACCCTCTTTGACCATGGGGAAATCTTCCTTTTTCCAGCATTCCTCTCTTAACCCTGAGGTCTGGGATTCCTGAGAGCCGGCCTCAACAGTAAAGATGGAGGCAAACAAGGCATGAAGTAATTCTTCCTCCCCTGTGTCTTCAGTCAGTAGGACACCCATCTGTTTCAGCAGCAGCCCCACATTTTTCCATAATGTTCCTTTTGCTGCTGATGTATTTGCAGAAGCCCTTCTTGTTGTCCTTGATAACCCTTGCCAGGTTCAATTTCAAGTGGACCTTTCCTTATTGCATT